GAGCCAGTTGTCTGTGGAGACTCTCAAAAGAGCAGTTTCGCCTTCATATTAAAGAGTTTCTTTTCCCTGCATGTAACCACATCAAGCTAGCTCCTTGGCAATGTTCTCTCTGTGCCAGGCATCAAATGTGAGCCCCCAGTGGGACCCTTGTCCTGTGTGCACCCCCATACCTGGGCAATCCTGCATGCTTCAAGACGAAGGAGATTTGCCCCTCCTGCCTTTTCTGGGATTAATTTTTGCCCACAGCCCTTGTCACCACCAACTCTGGGAGCATCACTGGGTCCTGGTGGGGGGTCCCTCCCTGGAGAGGTGGTTCTTTTCTGTGAGGGGAATTGAAGGTTGTCAAACCCTTCTCTCAAACTGGTTTCATCTGCATTAAGTCTCACAGAAATTCCTTGAAATGTCTGGTATGTGGGTGTAAGCCTTCTTCAGTTTTGAAGAATGACAGATTTTCCCCTATCATTATTTTCCTTTGGCTGTTTCAATGGGAGTTTGGAAGAAAGGCAGGATGAGAAGTTCAATGTGAGGGTTTAAATGTCTGTCACAGAGTGGAAGTCTGTCCTTGTACTTTTTTTTTTTTTAATTTTTTTTTCAACGTTTATTTATTTTTGGGACAGAGAGAGAGACAGAGCATGAACGGGGGAGGGGCAGAGAGAGAGGGAGACACAGAATCGGAAACAGGCTCCAGGCTCTGAGCCATCAGCCCAGAGCCCGACGCGGGGCTCGAACTCCCGGACACGCGAGATCGTGACCTGGCTGAAGTCGGACGCTTAACTGAATGCGCCACCCAGGCGCCCCTGTCCTTGTACTTTTCATAGGCCCTTTAGACAAAGTCCCCTCCACCTTATAGACCTATAGGATGTATAACCCCTCCTGGCGTCACCGACTCCTCCGATGTAGGGTAGAAGAACAGTTTCTCCTCTATCAGCTCTATGCTCCCTTTCTGCGCACGTTATGAAAAGATTTTTAATATCTTGGCTTTCTCTTTCTCTGTCTCAACTTTTATCTCTCACAATTTCTTTTGTCCTTTTCCTCTGAGCTTAAAGAGAATTTCTTGAGTTTATCAGGCAGATTGAGCCATCACTGAAAACTAAATTACCCAGTCCTCTTTGTACTCGTTCTCTTTGATTTCTCCTTGCTCAGTTCTTTATGCTTCCTTTTCCCTGCCTCCCTGTTGCTTTTCTGGATCATCACTACCCTATTTCCATCAAAATTGTTAGTTTTGCTTGCCTAAGGATTTCTAGGTGTTTAATTTAGGACTTTTCCCTCCAACTCCTGAGAATTCTGGGGCCAGTCTTCTTCTCAGAAAGCTGTGGCTGTTGGGGCAAGGGCAGCAAAGGCAGGATCGAGGGCATAGCTCTTCTGCCTCCAAGCGTGCTAGCTGGAATGGTTGGACATCAGCTGAGCTGCATCCTCTGGGTACCTCTACTGCATCCTGGTCAGCTAGGCAGTTCACAAACTATGTGAGCAAATGAATGTCTTTGGTCGTAGCAGCCAGCTGGTAACTCTGTCTCAGAGACTCTGACCCGTGCCTTAATGTCCTGGAGCTGCTTAGACCACGTGTAGAGCCATCAACCTCCAGACTTCATGACTGGGCATTAGAGCCACGCCGTGATACCCCTTGTGGAGGATGGAGTCAAGCTCAATATATAACTTCAGTGTGCATTCCGGAAGTAGGCTTGAGAGCTGGAGGGTGGAAGACATTAAGCAGAAGGTCAGATCAGTCTCTGGAGAACGTTGGCCATGAAAATCACCCAGGTAGCTGAGGATGAAGCACATGCCTCTCAGGGCTTCACACCCCGCCCATTATGCTGATGAAAACTGTAAAAATGATTCAGCACAAGGTTTCCTATTTTTCTTTTGGCTACAGGTAAGGAGGACACTGATAGCTGAGGCTGCAGAGGGGGCTGATACTTGGACAATACCTTACATTGGACTAGATTTCTGTTCCTAAATCCCTCGACACAGTCAAATCTCCTGTCTAAACGCAGTTCTCCAGAGTTCTTTATAAAACCTTTCTTTCTCTCTCTCACCCTCTCTCTCATACACAGATGACATTTGACTTTTGCCATCCTATTGGGCCAGGCACCCCTTCCTGTTTTCCCTCAGAGCACCCCATCTGCGGCTGCCACCCGAAACCAACTCTGGTCATTGCTCTCTGCAGCTTGTCTGTAGGAATCGCAGTCCATTCAGTGCTGTGGACCAGAGCCGTGCTTCCTCCCCAAGAGTGTCCAGGCCATTTACTCCCTAATATCTTGGGTAACTGCCGAGCTCAACAGCGAGCTTAGCTGGCCTGAATCACTCAGGGAAGACTCTGGTGCCTATGGCCCCATAATCACTTCCCAGATGAATCAGGAAGGAGGGGGAGGCTGATTACAGTGAAGAAGGGGACTCTTTAAACCATACACTCTGTAATAAGTATGTAGAAGGAAGGGGAAAAGTGACAGTGGGATTTTACCAGCTTCTGAGTAGAACATAACATAGTTCTCTTGTTTGCACAGGGAGGAGAGGCTGTCACTGGCTTAGTACAGAAGGGACTGTCCTTGAGCTCAAGGCCAGCTGAAGCAAGGGTGTGCAAAGGCAGCCCAGGCGTATTCCTGGTGGGAAGGCCACGCAGTCACCAGGCCCCACATGCACACAGAAACCAGGTGGCCTGACGAGGGAGCTGCAGTGCCTGTAGGTGAAGGAACACACTCCCATCTCCACAGAGCTTTAGGGGCCACAGCTAAAAAAAAACTTCATGCAGCTCAGACAGCAACATATTGCATACGGCTAAAACACAAAAAGAGCACACCACCCTTTAAAAAAAATGATTTTTTGGCTCTAAACAGCATTCTGTAATTTCCCCCCCTCTTTCCTCTTATACCACAGGCTGAGAAACTAAATCCATGGCTCCCAATGAGCCTATGAAACTATCCCCATAGGAAGGCGCACACACACATACACACACATGAACAGGTATGAGCAAAGGAACTGATACGGAAGTGATAAAGGTAATGGTAGGAAATTGAGAGAGGAGAAAATATGTCCACTGAGAGAGATTTTCTTTAAACAATAGCTATATTTTTTGATAAATACTGTGTTACACATGCAAATAAATTCTTGCATCTAGTCCCCACATCAACCCAGTGAGTTCAGTATTATCCTTATTAAAAATGTGGTAGGGGCGCCTGGGTGGCGCAGTCGGTTAAGCGTCCGACTTCAGCCAGGTCACGATCTCGCGGTCCGTGAGTTCGAGCCCCGCGTCAGGCTCTGGGCTGATGGCTCGGAGCCTGGAGCCTGTTTCCGATTCTGTGTCTCCCTCTCTCTCTGCCCCTCCCCCGTTCATGCTCTGTCTCTCTCTGTCCCAAAAATAAAAAAAATAAACGTTGAAAAAACAAAACAAAAAAAAAAATGTGGTAACTGAGGCAGCAAAGCATAGAAGCCAACATACCAGCCTTGAACCAGCTCGTTTTGCTTTCAAAATCAGGCTCTCGCAGGCTTTGGAACGCTGGTTATTTTCTAAGTTCTCTGGGTCTCAATTATTTTCAAATAAAAGGAAGATGGACTCTACCTCATAAGGGTTGCTATGAGTATTCAATGAGACGTGGAAGACGCCAAAGGCAGAATGTTCACATTTTAGGATATTGGGTTTCCTCCTACTTCTATAAATAAGTGTTCAAAAACTACCTCAACTCAGTTTACCAAGAAATGCTACAGATGTTTTTTTTTAAGAAAATGTTGATTATCTGTTTGACTTGAATGAGTTGGAAGGTTTATAAAACTGCACATGTGGGCTGGCTCCTGAACATGGTGGTGGAGAATTAATGATTCCAACGCATTCGATGTACTTTGATTTGAGTACTCTTTAGTTTACAAGATATCAAATTATCTCTTGATTAAAAAGATTTTACAGACCTGAAGGGGATAAGCTCATTGGTTTGATTCTGCTGCTACTTCCCCCCACTTACGACTTTGTGTGTGGGCAAGAGAAAGAGAAGGGAAGACTGCTCAACCCACTCTTGCCAGCCTGGACAGCTAGCTCTCAGCCACAGAGAACTTGATGTGTGCATTCTAGCAGGAAACGGGGCGATGGGTCCACTCTGCAGTCCTCGCTGGGGGTCCTGGAGAACAGGAGAAGGCCATTGAAAATGGATTTCTTCCCCCCTGTAACCAAGGCAGGCCAGTCTAGGAAGGAGATGGAAAAGCCATCAAAATAGGTTAACACCAGCCTAAAGAGGTGAACACTGAATCAGGGAGTAGGAACCACTTACTAAAGAGAGAGTCTGTGTGCATTCACCCTGTACAAGCATGGTATGGATAGAGGAAAAGGTGGACTCCGGGACTTAGCACACAACCCTCACTGCAGATTATTAAAGGTTGAGAGAACAGCAAGGTATCCTCTGACAAAGTATTGAAAGGAATGGCTTCTCAAAGTAAATTTACACTGTTTTCAAAATCCCTTTCTACCCTGGTATTTCCTGCCAAATGTCAAGGCCAATGGCCTGATGCTTCCTTTTCAGAATTAGGCCCCTCAGCTCATATGAAACAAACTTAACAAAAGTCAAACCTGAGAGTCTGAGTTTTAGGCCAAGAAAACATCAAGAGACTCCCCCCATCCCCATCCTCCAAGGAAAGTGGGTGTATCTCCTCCTAGTCTGGAGGGGCCAGGAGAAGAGTGTCCCTCAGCTTGGGGCATCTGGTATAGGATGGGTCACTGCCTATTGGGAGCATACTGTCCCCTATGGACGGTCCTAAGGGAACTTATGGATGGTCCCCAAGAAACCTGTGGGTCGTCCATTCTCTGCCCAGAATGTCTTCCCTCTGTCCCCTCTCCACTTCCCCAAATTCCAGCACTGGGGGCGAGCTCCAGGCCACAAATCCTGAAAGGGACACCCAGGTGGCTCCAGCCCATACATCCCTCTCTCTGGGCCCACCAGGCTGCATGCTAGCTACCCTGTTCTTGGCCCCGGCTGCCTGTGGCGGGGTCGGGGTGGGGGCTGGCCTGAATGGTAGTAATAATGGTGGATAACCAGGTGCCCCTTAGAGACCCATCTTCATTATTAATCCCAGGCCAGATGTGTGGAAGCTCGCTGATCTCAACAACGCCGCCTGACAACTTGGGGTGGCTGTGTCCTGGCCGGCATCCCTAGAATCGAGAATTCTCAGCTGGGATAGGGGTGCAGGTTGGAAACCTGGTTTAACAAATTCTTTGCTGGATACTGGGGAGCCCTTTCCTCCGGCCAAGTCTTTGGCAAGCGGCGGGCGAGGCTCTCAGGTCCCGTTCCGGGGCGCGTCTGCAGTCCCAGCGGGGAGAGCCCCCAGCAGCGGCCGTCCGCGCAGGTGCCGGACGCCCGGGCGGCTCCGCTCCCCGCGCAGAGCCTGGAAGCGACCACCGCGCCCGGACGCGCGAGCCCCGCCGCGGCCGCACTGCGCTGCTAGTCTGAGGGTGGTGTCTGAAGTCGGGCGCTTCCTGCCTTTCCCTCCGCCTGGGTGCCCGGCTAGCGCGGCGGGGTTCCGAGATTCCCCGCTCGCCCCGCCCCGCCTGCCGCCCGCGCCCTGCACTGGGCGCGCGGCGTCCCCGCCCCCAGCCCCAAACCCCCACCCGCTGTGGCCGTAGGGGGGCACCCCCATCGGGGAGGGAGGGTGGTCCGCAGTGGCCCGGTCCCCGAGTGGCGGAGAGGTGACGGTAACCGCCTTCCCATTTCCGCCCGGCCGGCCGCGCGTCAGGGTGAGTGCAGCAGAGAGCGTTCGGTCCTGCCTCCGCCCGCCCGCGCCGGGGGCTGGCCTTGCCTCGCCGGCGCCTTTTTCCCCCGCAGCGCGGCGCCGCTTCGCCACTCGGGCACCGCAGGTAGGGCAGGAGGCTGGAGCGCCTGCTGCCTGCTGCCCGCCGCCCGTAAGATGGTCCGCTCGGCTGGACAGCTCGCCTTGCTCGCGCTGGGTACGTACGCTGCCTGCTGCGCGCCCTGAGCCACCTGCCCTCGGCGACACCCCGCTTTCCGCTGGCCCCTCCATTTCTTTTTCCTGGGGGGTTTCTGCGCCCGCCTAGGAGAGTCGAGGGAGGTTCATGCTTTTCAATGGTTGGAGGCTGGGGGTGGGGGGCAGTGGAAGTCACGGGGGCTTACTAGGGTTTTGGAGGAGCCAATTCCAAAGAGGGGGACCGTCGAGCGCCCAGGCTTTCCCCGGGGAGTGGCCGCCTGGGCCGTGCGTGAGAACGCCGGCCGGGGAAGGGGAAGCGGTGTGCGAACGGGCTTGAACTTTAATCCGCCGCGGCTCGGTGTTCGTACACTTGCCCACACCTACCTGCATACCTGGCTGTCTCCAACCAAGCCCGTCCTCACTGGTGGCGGTAAGCATAGACGCGGAGAAGGTGGCTGGCGTCAGACCCTATGCCTCTTCCCTGTCGTATCCCCGGCCTACCCCTGAGACCCAGTGACGGGCAGAAGGTCACAATCAGCAGAGGAGCCCTCAATCTTCTAACTTCAGGAGCTCTTGAGCTTTGGGGTATGTTTTGGATTTTTGTGCGGATTAATTGTGCTTTTAATTAACTTCCCTGGGAGAAGTGGTTTAAGTGTCAGCCGAGGGCAGGAGTGAAACCCTAGACGGAGCGTTGCCAATTTCCTTTGCGTTTGTTCTTGGAAGGGAACGCGAGTTGGGGGAAGGGAGGGAAAGTTAAACTCGGCAAACCTGGGTCTCATCTGTGGAGCCCGTGAGTTTTTCCGCGGTGAAGTTCACAGGACTGTATGTAAGGGGTAAGGGACGCAGTGCAGTGCAGTGCGCTGCCTGGCGGGCTCTCGCCCCTCTCCGTGCCGGGCCTCTCTGCTATTGAGATAGCTGGTTAACAGCCCAGGTGTCCAGGTTTATTGGTGCAGCTTCCGTAAAATGAATTGCTCAGTCGACATCCCCAGAGCTTAACCCTATAAAGCAAGTTGCTCCTACCTGGATAATTTATTGTAGCCTGAGAAAAGCTGTGGAGCCCTTCCCCTGAAAAAATGCCCAGAGCCGCAGCCTCACCCAGTTCCTGTACAGTTTCAGAGGGCTCACGGACCCGCCTTTACCTTTAATTCTGCCCATGAAACGCTGGTTAAGAACCGCAGCAGAAGGGGAGGCATCGTTTTAGAGGGAAACGGAGCAGTGGTGGAACCCAGGCTCAGAGATGTAGCTTACCCTGAAACTCACCAACAGGTGGCATGATTATGGATGGCTTTTCCTCCCCGTTTACAAAACCTTTTTAATTTTTTGTATTGACGGTTCTGATTTTAGATGGTTTTTAAAGCAACAAAACATTACTGGTACATCAGAGGCCTCCTGTCTGCAGGTGCCTTTGTAGTGTTTTTTGTTTGTTTGCAAATTCTGGTAGTAATAATAGCTTATGCTCTTTGAGCACTTACTCTGTGCCAGGCACTAAGTGCTTTACATGTATTCATTTAATTTTCCCACCAACCTGATGAAGAAGGTATTATCTTCCCTGTTTTACAGAGGAGGAAGGTGAAGTACCCAAAGCCCACAGTGAGTAAGTACTTGGGCCAGGATTGTTAGAGTGTGGGAGAATCAAGGGTTTGAAAGGTCACCTAACTGTGGTTGGTCACTAGAGTCCCATCTCCCAGTTTGGGGACTTTTCCTGAAGGTGAGATTATATGGAATACCCTAGAACTTGCTGTTAAATTGGGTTTTCTGTTGGACCCCTAGGATCTGAAGGTGGTCTTAGGTTATTCAGTGAAAATTAGAGGCAGGAAAAGATGGTGAACAAGTTTGAAGGCACCTTTGAAAGTTGCCCTGCCCTTGCCCATGAAGATTGCATGCATTCGTCATGCTATTTTTCCTTTTTGCCTAGGAGTTCAACCTGATCTTTGTTTCTTAAGAAAAGAGTGTATAAACTTAAAAAGATTGATCAGTATGTAAAAGCTGGCTCATACAGTTCCAAAATATGAGCAGTTGGAAAGAGAAAAAAAAAAAGGAAAAAGAAGGCAGGAATACTTTACACGAGTTTTTTATTTATATTTCTTTTTTCTTAAGCCTTTAGTTCTGATCATTGACTACAACTTCTGCCTCCCACCTCACTTTCCGCTAGATTACTGAATAGCACTCATCAGTGCCGCATGCATCTTTAATTTGCACATTTCCTCCAGAGCTGCTTTCCTCTCTAATTTCTCTTAAGTTGGTTGAAGGCAGTTCCAGGCAAATCGGCAAATCTAGAAAGCCGAGATCTCTCCCCTCCTCCCCAATCTTCGTGGAGGCAGTCTGAAAAGAAGCTGGTTGTTTGGAGTCTCAGCTGATGCTCCTGATTACTTGGAACCTGAGCGATGATTGATGTTTTGGCTGGAAGAGTGTGGAGACTGTTGCTTAAATGGCAACATTGGAAATGTGATCCGGGTTCCTGTGGTGGCTGCCTCCATGTCAGATTTCCATCACTGACCAGGCACACCTCATAGGAGCTTGGCACCTTCAGTCCCACATCCTCCTCTGTGAGCAGGGAACAAGATGGTGTGATCCTGGGCAAGTTACTTAGCTTTTCTGTGTCTTGTTTTGCTCATCTGTGAAATTAACAGGATTGTTGGATATATTTAAAGAACATAGAATGGTGCCTGTCACATAGTAAGAATTGAATTAATCTTAGTGCCATCATCACCATTGTTGTTATAACTTTGAACCCCATAGAATTCCAGATGTTACAGCAGATTGTGTCCATTCTGTAGCTGGAAAGTTTGACTGTCTTATCTTCTAGCTCCCCACATTTCCTAAGCCAGAAAATACCACCCACCCTAAAAATCCACTTAATGATTTAGTGAGGGTCATTTGGCAGATGCCAATTCAAGCAAGTTTGGGATATTTTTTTTTTTTGGACGTCATGAATTCTTTAATTTTTGATGCAAAACATTTGTATTTCCTCAGTGTTCAGTGGTCGGTTTATTGAAGTCAGCACTAAGTTCCAGTTTTCTTACCTGTAAAGTGGGAATAATAAAACTGCACCCACCTCACAGGCTGTTAGGAGAATCAAATGAGATGGTAAATATAGAAGCTATTTATAAACTATACTTATAAAGGACTGACTGCACACAAAATGAAATTGATTTTATAATACAGAAATGGATTTTATAGTCCAGAAATAACCATTATGTTTATGGCAATTCCCAGAAGTAGGACTGGTTGTAACCTAAAGAAGGGTCCTAGGACCCCAGGTGTCATTAAGGATGGGTAGAGATGAAGCAGGTCAGCTTCCCTGTGGATTTGGGACTGAGGGACCAGTAGAGGGCATGAAGTAAGACAGCCCTCTTCTCCATTACATGGAAATGATGTCTTTCAGAGTAGACAGTGGAGGTTTGCCCAGGACACATGTTTTCCTTATTGGGCAGCCATAATTAGGGAAAGTTCACTTAGAACATGGGCTGTAAAGGTGTATATGGAAGGCTTAGAGGCTAAGTTTCCCATATTTGCTTTTCCAAAATTTGGTTTCCTAGGATAAAGAGATCTTTCTGTAAATATTCAATGTCCCCTGCAAAGGGGACCTTTCTTACAGGAGTAAATGATGCTTCCTGTTACTATGGTAACATAGGAAAAATAGCTGACTTTTCCATTAGACCTATCTCTAAGGGCCTTTTGAAAGTGTGTTTGAACAAAGTCCTACTCTGTGGGCTGCCCGCTGAAAGGGATGGGCATTGGGAAGTGGAGGTTGGGTCAGCCAAAATGGGATTAGTGTGGCACACTGAATTGGGTATCTTGTGCCTGGCTTCACACGTAAAACCTCTGTAGGACCTTCCGCAGCATGCCTCAAATCACAGCCACCTGGAGGGCTTGGTAAACCAGGTTGCCTGGCAGGAGGTAGGAGTTTGCATGTCTGACAAGTGTCCAGGTGTAGCTTAAGCTGCTGTTGGGGAGGAGAGGAGAGGGGCCCTTGGAGAACCACTGCTCTTCAGCCGGTTCCTGTTAAGGAAGCTTCTGGCTTACCCAGTTGCGTTTTATCTAAAGTACGTGCTGATGTTTATGAATGCTGCTGTGGATTTACGAGCCATTATTAAAGGTGCTTCTGTGGCCTGTCTTGCTGACCAGAGCAGAGTTAGAACTCTTGCTGAGATCTCTTAATTGTCATAAGTGTCCTTGACCTTTACCTCTGGAAAATGTGACCATCTTCTCTCATTAGACTTAAGCTGACCAATGCTAAGCATCTCCCGCTTGCTTTTTTGGGGGGGTTGCCAAAAATTGACCGTTGTTTGGCTGTCATTTCAACTATTTTTAATCACCTCATTTTAAAGTACGAATTTAAGGGGCGCCTGGGTGGCGCAGTCGGTTAAGCGTCCGACTTCAGCCAGGTCACGATCTCGCGGTCCGGGAGTTCGAGCCCCGCGTCGGGCTGTGGGCTGATGGCTCAGAGCCTGGAGCCTGTTTCTGATTCTGTGTCTCCCTCTCTCTCTGCCCCTCCCCCGTTCATGCTCTGTCTCTCTCTGTCCCAAAAATAAATAAATGTTGAAAAAAAATTAAAAAATAAATAAATAAAGTACGAATTTAATTTTATGCTGAAGGCTAATATATTTAAGATTGCATCTAGATGGAGAATTCGAGCACTTTTACAGTGACTTCTGGTTTTGTTTTGCCTTTTTTTTTCCCTTGTGAAATGTCAAGTATAAAAAATCTTTCATAGAATCAGGAAAGCCTAAAATCTAGGCTACCAGAACCATCTCTTTGGAGCTCTTCAAGTACAAGGCACATTCTCTTTAGACCAACTCCAAAAATCTGGGTAGTCTTTTGAAACATTATGAATTGGTTGTACTGGGGTGCCTGGGTGGCTTAGTCAATTAAGTGTCTGATTCTTGGTTTCAGCTCAGGTCATGATCTCATGGTTTGTGAGTTCGAGCCCCACATTGGTGCTGTCAGCCCGGAGCCTGCTTAGGATTCTGTTTCTCTCTCTCTCTCTCTCTCTCTCTCTGTCACACACACACAATAAAT